AAAAACTGCCTACTGATATGACTGCCTATAAGTCTACTTACTTTCCAGACAGCCCTTGCATTTCTACTGGTTTCCGTTTTCTTTAGATACTAAATCTCACGGATGCATAGACGGAGCGGGTTGTCACTTCTTTGAAAAAGATCCGAAATTAGTATGTGTTGCTGAAGCAGTCGCATGTCCTGTAACATGTGGATGTTGTTGTAAGTTGGATTACTTTATACTATAATATTTCTTTTTAATTTCACTTTCTGAACAACATATCGAAATTGTTGTATTAAAAGCCTTTGAAAAGACAAGAGAGACTATTTTGTAAAAGAAAATTAGAAACAAGCATTGAAAGAGCTAAATGTGTAAAATAGGTTTGTCCAACTTTATATTTATAATTCATATATTTAAATATTTATTTAAAAAAGAGCTTCAAAAACAGCAAAGAGCCTGGTCTGTTACTTAGGAAGTAAAGGGTTGCATGACTGTATACTAACAGACTTGTTTCTGACCTCGGTTCTAGCAGAAAATGGGTACATCCATTACAGTTAATATACAAGAATACGAATTATTAACACTTTCGAATAATTAATGCATAATAAGAATCTATAGTTTATACGTCCGACTAGTTGTCTAAGGGTTGCTGGCCGCATAGTTTTAAAATATGTCAAAGGCAAGCCATTATTTCATTCAAGCAATTATTTCTAAGTATGAGCATTTGCTAGTTCAATGAACGCATTCGAGAAGGGTGTATCTTGAAGTTGTAAGGTTCCTTAACACCAGAACTGAACTAATATAGATTTTATATAAACTTAATCAAATCGTTTTTTCTCTTTCAGGAGTTTGATAAATGTTACCGGAAGATCCTTTCTAATAAATCGGTTCGTTTGTACAAACAACTTCCTTTGCAATTGTTGTTGTTGTTTTGTTGTTGTTTTCCCGTCTTTTGGACCACAACTGTATATGACTCACCACATTGCTCTTATGAAAGGAATATAACGACAGTCAGTCTCCCTACACAAAGTCCAAATGAATCCGGTAGTAAAAGTACTAATAAAATAACTCAAAGAATAGTTAAATAAACCAATCAAGGGTCATAAGCAAAATCATAATGAATAATTAAAGCATAACATGGCAAGTTTCAACATGATTCACACAACAAATAAAGATGTTAATGTAAATAAGCTTAGCTGATATTGGTTTAAGCAAAACTAAGATAGCTAATAATAAAAGTTAAAAAAAAGATCATTTAAAAGACACATGATAAGTTTATGTATATAATAACATATGTCTTAAACCACAAGGTCTAACAAATATCTTGTAAAGATGTTTGACAATACTTTGTTGAAAGGGATGTTCTTTCATCACATAATTTTTATTATATTAAACAGAAATATGGTGAAACTGGTTACGGCATTATGGTTAAGTTTTGTAACATTCTTAATTTCAACACTTCTGTATTATACATATTTTGTACTTCGATAAAATTTTACAAAATATCATGACATTACTTTTTTAATATATAATGTCTGTCCATTATTCTCACAATATAATAGTAACTTATTTTTACATTTTTGTAAACCTTTTGATATGAGTAACAAATCATATGCATATAGTAGATATATGAAATTGACATTGCTTAAGGTAACTTGATCGTCTGAGATATCGAGAATAGAAGGGAGGTAATTGAATAAAAGTTAAAACATTATTTGGACTAAGGTTATCTCCTTGACTTACACAAATTGTTAGCAAAGCAATCCAGTAAGCATCTTTTTTCATTTTAACATGCGTCGAATTATCCTGTTTAACATATTCACATATTTTTAATAAAATTGTAAAAATGTCCACTGATTTCTACGGTACAAAATTAACAAAATGATATAGAATTCATAACATTGTCGAATGCCTCAGTAAAATCAACAAAAAAGTTAAAAAGTAATTAAATTTTGCTCATCAGCTAAAGAATATATAAATTAACGTCCGCTCAACAAACATATTATTAGATGTCTTAGACTTTTGATAGAAACAAATATGTGCTTCAGTAATTACAACACTATCAATTAAATATTGTAATTTGTAATTCAAGATACTACTATATCACCTTAAAAATGTCATCACAAATTTACCGCTGTAAGTATTTTGGCGCATTTGGATTACCCGATTTAAACAAACCCATGTTATACCCATTTATGAAAATAGATGAATACACACTAGTTAACAATATTTTCACAAACAACAAGGAACACATATTTCCATGCTGTGATCATCTCATTTGTTATAGAGTCAAGGCCAGCAGATTTCTGTTTTTTTTTTTTCAACGAATTGATAGACTGGGATATTTTTTCTAAAATTATAAAATTACGGTCAGAATATATTTAGTGTTTTATTGTTCTTTAAGCATTGCTTGCCCTTCCTCTTTTAGATCTTTAACTAGTTTCAAATAATCTGATAAAAGAGGCTATCTAACTTTGTGATAAAGGTTTTCTGAAGATATTACATTTTTCCTACAACATGTCCCTTATAATTTTCTAGAGATATTATATTCCTGAAACAACGACGCTTCAAACTAATAGAAAAACAAATCTGCAACGGAATTAGACAAAAAGTATGTTAAAGGTTGACTCGAGGAAATGGTTTTTTTTACGAAAATTTAGACACTTTATATACAGCAAAAACAAATCGCCGGCCTTTTTTTTAAAAAACAAAACACATAACCACGCGGAAATCCCCAGGATACTGTTTTACTTAGAGCTTATGACCTTTTATTGCTGTTATGAAGAACCCTTTAAAAATTAGGGAAAAACCAATCCGCAATGGAATAAGACAAGTGGGATTCTAGAAAATAGTGTTTTTTACGAAAATATATACACTTTATATACACAAGGGACAAATTAACAGCCAAACGGAAGTCTACCGCATATTTTTCTTGGATCAGGTCTTTTGACCTTAAATACTTTAAAGAACATTCTCCAATCTACTGGAATAATATATCCACAACGGAATCAGACAAGTGGTATTTGAACGAGGTCATTATTCTTGGGTAAGCGATTTTGACCTAATGTTTCCCCAAAGTAATAGAAAAACGCTCATTTTGCTGTGTTTTTACAAATTTTATTCACTAAATATACAGAAAGAACAAACCGCTGGTCCCAAAAAAAAACATGACACGCGAATATCTGCAGACAATTTTGCTTCGTTTAGGGCTTTGTGCCTTATACTGCTGTAAAGAAGACCCACTAACTTGATGAAAAAAATAATAAATCCGAAGTGGTGTTTTGATTGTTGGCTCGAGAAAGTTGAGGTTTTTACGCAGTTTCTTAGATAACGGTTTGCTCGAGAGAATTGAGTTTCCTTTTATGAAATTTTGAAAACTTCATATACATAAATAATTAATCGCCGGTCTAAAAAGCGATAATTTTACACGGTCATGGCTTTTATTTTCCTTACGGAAGAGCTTTTAGCCATATATTGCTGTGAAGAAGGACCTTCAAATTAAAAAAATCTACTGGATTATTACTTAACTTTTTTAGGTCATAGCACCACTTAATGAGATTTTTATAAAGTTGTAACTACATAGTTTGTCGTCAGTCTTCATGGTGTTGCTTTCGAATTTTTCAGTCTATCTAATGATATGCGTATGTACTTAATTTAGTTCATTCGTTGATCATACATGAGTATATGCAAAGAAAACTCTAAATTTCTCTCATTTTAAAAATATATCGTCATACCTGTAATTAGCTTTTTTGGTGCTGCTATGTGAGAAATATTTGGTTTGAACACATCGGTAAAATTTCTTTCTACAGTCCAACCCCATTTATTCGAAGTGTCTGGGACTGAATAGTTACTTCGAATAATCGATGGGTTCGAATAATCGAAATCGAAATATTGTGATAGACGAAAACTACTCCACTTTGACCAATCATAGCAAAACTACCGTTTACAACACACTTACTCCCTGTAATCAATCGAGAAAAATAAATATTAAAGAAAAGATGCGTAAAAATTATTGTATTGACATTGAAGACATAAATACTTGCATTTTATTCTAAATTATGTATCGTTTCGTTTCGCGCAAAGCCTTGATAATGGCCGTGTTGTCACTACGTTTACAGCTAAACTCTGGTATTTTCGATTAAGGATAAAGGCTCTCATGTAGCGTTACAATTAATGAAAAAAATGTTTTGATTGTTTTGACAAATTCATATATACGTTATGTATGAAAATTATTGCTGTCGTTTTCAAGAAATAACAGTAACAAAATCGGACACGGTGCATAGCTCTAATTTCATTTTCGATAATTATAGTCCAGTCAAATTAGCCCGAAAATCAAGCTAACCTAGAACTAATTGCAAAAGTTTTTGTTTTGATATTTTATGATGGTACCATATCTGCTTGATATAAGGAAAAAAGTTGCACTCTTTTGCTGAAGGGGAAGTGTGATTTTTTTAGCTTTCAAGTTGACACCTATAAATTTCAGTTATGAAATCCGTGTAACTTATTATTTTCCGATGATACTAAAAAAAACCTCTTCCATATATAAGTTAAACATATTTATTACATGCAAACTTCATACAAACAAATTTTTGTCCATGTTAATTCAAAAATATACATATAATTTACATTAAAAACATTTTTCATAGGCAATTTTATGATAAAGTGGGGTCAAATTACCCCACCCACTTTATGTTAAAAATTTCAACCAGTCAAATTTCGATATATAAGCAGCAAATCATCCATTTCATGCATATATACAGTAAAAACAATACATAATGACATATTTATGCATGAAGAAATACATTGTAAATTATGTCAACTGTATTCATATGAATTAAAAAGGACATACATACATGTGTGTATTGTAAATTTTGTGTTTAGATAAACGTTGAATAATTCAGGTACACTTTTTTTAGCTAACATTCTGAACATCTAACGCAATTTGAATGATTTTTTTGTTTCAAGTAAAAAATGAACAACAACAAGTAAGTATAATTTAGAGCGAGTAACAATTACCAAAATACCATGGAGAAATTGTAGTATATACATTTAAGTGTCATTTGTTGAAATTTGACATTACACACGGAATAAAACTATATTTCTAATGTCTCGAAGAGCTACCTAATTTGGCAAGCAACAATACATTAATATAAAGAACATGTATATACAGGCTAGCTCATTCACAAGAACTACGTGCTTGTCACATCGATAAGTACTCTTAAATCACTTTGAGTATATGGTAGGGTTATTGTCATGCTTGTAATCTACATCAAATGGTACTATATTCTATAAATTTGAAATTATCGTTCTATTTCAGACAATATAGTTATACATTTTTATTTACAGTAGATAAACTTTGACATTGACAATTAGAGGAAAATACATTTTGAAGCAACACAAGCAAAGATAAGAAAGCATTGATAAACGTGCATTGTACATTTAGAGTTTACTACATTTAGGTTATAGCGCATAATTCGGTGCTAGCACAAGTGATAAACACCAATGTAAAGTATTGTGCACAAATTTTAGTATAACTTGACACTGGATAAAAGAGTATAATTACCATACTAAATAACTACTTCCTATGGCAAGCAAACAGTGTATTATAATAAATCTTTTGTTTTTATTACAAGTTACATATATTTACTTCACGAGGAATATGAGACTTTTCAATATACAGAACATATTTGTCTGCAAAGTTTTATATGAATAATTTAAAGTAGAACCCCTATTGCTTATGTACAAAAAGATGCCAGATGCATGTACATTGCTAATAATAGCACAAACTATGAATACATTTCAATACAAAACAGGTACAATTGATAACTATGTTCTAAGAGAATTGTGTCGAAACCAGATCTAGTCTTCCATGTCTGCAAAATCAATATCTGAAATAGACCGACAGTTTGAACAGCTAATACCATGACATTCTCCACATCCAACAGAACATTCGAGATCATGTTTGCGACAGGTACATCTCTTAGAGTCGCAATTTTTTTTGCAATTGCATCTGATAATATTTAAAAGAAAATCTGGAGCAGCGGGTTGTGTAGATTTTGTTGGTACAAGACGTCCTTCAAGAAGTTCCCATCCCCATTCAGTTGGATCTAATTTATCATTTCCAATCCATGTTTGTGTTTGAAAATAGGACCGCATAGAGTGTTGCGCCGCAGCATCAGATGTAGGTGGAAGGCTTTGAACTTGAATAACAGATGAACTTGACATGGTTTTACTTACAAATTTGTGAAATCTCAGTCTGTTCAAATTTATCTCCCTAGCCCCATCATACAAAATCTTCATGGCATTTTCACCAGCTGTAACAATTTCTTTTTTGTTTGTTGAAGAATGAAATATTGCAGCATTTTGCCGGAACACTTCATCTTTACACATTATTTTAAGACATGCCGGTTTGCTGATGTTGTATATTCGTGAAGTACTGTCACAACCAGAGAAAGCGTGCAGGAATGGTAGGAGATTACAAATCTCTATTCCAATCACATTTTGTGTGTTTTGAATATTCCACACCTTTTGGGTTTTCAGACGAATCGAATTGTTGTCTGATCTGAAATATACATTCTTCGAATCTGACGAGACATGAAACAATAAGAGGACAAGCAAGTCTGTGTCTTCACCGATAACATACGTTGTTTTCGTTTTAGAATATTCAACAGCTGTTTGAACAATCAGAAAGTCTGCATCAGAATGTGAATTGCGTATAATAATGCCTCTTTGTTCCAAATAATTACCAAGATAAAAAATGAAGTTTTGTTTGTTTCTCCTCATTTCTCAGAAACATATCTTTTTTCATTTTCAGTGGTGTGTTATAACCGAACACAACCTTTGTACCAACTTCGCCTTTCATACGCCTAAGATGAGCAACATCTTTTATAGAATGGTCCATGTAACCGTCAAAAACGACTGTAGGATTGACATACCTTTTAGAGATGTAGGAATAATATTGCTTGCAGACATTTTCAATTGTTGAACCTTTTTCCCAAGGAATCTTCTGAAGAAGCGAGCCGCCGTCAAGTACATGCACATTTTCAGAGGCAATGTCATCTAATTGGACCGGATTTGTAAATTTTCCAAAATTCCATAATGCGTCAGCAAGTGCAGCTTTGTTAGCCTCTCTAGGAAGTCCTGTGTTGTCAAACAAGGCAGATGGAATACTACTAAGTTCATATTGAAAAGCACTTGATACATCACCATCAACAAATCGAGCAGCAGTAATTAATCTTTGAAACAGCAACTGGGGATCAATGACAACTGGCTCACCAAGTACCTTGATTGAAGACTTTTCATTCATGGTTACAGCTTGTTTTGATTTTTTTGAATGAATAACCTTCAAAATCTTTTCCAACCATGTCTTTAAGAATATTATTTCCAATTTATATTTTGCATTATCACAATTCACCCTTCCATCGGGCAGTAACACAAGTTTCTATGTGCCTCAATGATGTAGATGTTTCATTAAATGGATTGTGAATTTGAAGAAAATTTTATGAATTCAGTGACGTCCGTTTCATCTTTTTTTGAACGAGCGTTGCCCTCTTCCTTGTGTTGTTCACTGGTTTTATATCCTGTTTCTGTAAATTCTTGCATAGCAGCATTCATTTGTGCTGTGGCGGGCATTGACATAAGCCAAGTTGTCCTTTGTGATTCGGTCATTCCTCGACCTCGGGTAAGACCACCCGATGTTTTTAATGATCTCATTCAAAACTTGCTCAATTGTGAGATCGGTTGAGATTCCGCCCCAATATCTATCATTTCTTCTCACAACATGACAACCTTTCAAAAAAGCACTGTGTACATTCAGGATGTGTGCTATTCAACGATTTCATGTTCTGTAGGTATATATATGCGGATCGAAGGTAGAACGAGTGACCAGCAGCTGCAAAGTATGGTAACATTTGTTGGAGAGACTGCAGATGTTCTAACCAGTTCCCTGTCCGCTCTGCTCGTATGAAACTTTGCAAAATGGATATCATTTCCATGTACTGAAACCACAGTTTGCAAGTTCTATTAGAACTCATGATTTCCTTTGCTTCAGTAAATTTGGTTTCTATTGTTTGTAAACATGTTGAGTGACAAACATCTTGTTTCTGTATATTACCAGACATCAAATCTTCATACAAACTAACAAGTTCAGTCTGGATATCAGTGTGTATATGTTTTGTGTCGTCATTAGCGACATGTAATTTAGAAATTTCAAGTTCTATCGCTGTGTCTTCAGAACAACTTCTGAAATCAGTTCGTGTATCTAGTGACTCTTCAAATGATTCTAGTTTGTTTGGCGGTTGTGTGCCAAATAATTTAGACATCAGTATTGCATGTAATGCTGTATCAAGCAGAAAATGACATCGAGTCGCCCGTGCAACGGCCTTGCCCGTTAGCATATGTGTTACTGCATTTGGTGCATAAACAGTTTGCATAATTTCTTGTAATCCTGAACCAGACATCAAATTACCAATAGTGCCCAAGAAACTCATCTCAGTATGGAATGCTCCTAATCTCAATACGACATTTCCACCTAAGTCATGACTACTGGAGTTGAGGATATGTGTTGCCTTCTGGAATAGCGGTTGATCAAACGTAAGGACTGGCGTGACAGCATACTTTCGAGACAGATCACATATGAAGGAAAGTGTGGAATAAATGCAAGTCAAATCACTTGGACTCATGTCGATCATTGGGAGAAATGATATCCCTGATTTCCCTGGAAACACTGAACTTGTGCTCGTATCGTACAACTGCATAAATCCTGACCAGGAAGGTCTCGATGGTTTCAATGGCCAAATAACTTTAGAAAAAGTGTCAAAAGCTCCACTCATGCTAATTTCCTCTTTTTGTGACAGCGATTCAAATTGAACCATTTGCATTTGTTCAGATTTATATTGATGGAAGAACTTAATCTTAATTCTTCCAAGATCAGTGATTTCTTGGTAGGTAACTTCTTTTCTTGGAATTGGAACACTAACATTTGATCCAGGAGCAGTGCAAGCAATTATACCCATGCCATGAAATGTTCCATGCCCATCTAATGTTCTTATGTTATGGTCAACATTATCAGCACAAAACTGTAAAAATCTTCCTGGAAAATATGAAGCAATGCCAGTATTGAGCGTTGCAGCGGCATTCATTTGAAATTTCATGACTTCGGGATACGAAGAACAAAACCCCATGTTGAAAAGTGTATCAATCAAAAACCTTGATGCAAAGTGATGGTGAAGCTGTACTCCAAGGCCAATTTGGAGAGGTGACATCAATGCTCTAGGTCTGCAAGCTTGCATTATGGCTTGTCCTATAGCAGCCGTTTTCATAGCAATATCCTTTCCAGGAAATATATGTTGAAGCAACAACCGCAGACTGTCTGAGACATAATTCAAGTTTTTTTCAACTGAAGATACATCAGCAAAGGATGGATAGTATTCCTTTGAAACCTTAACATCAAAACCTTGTATCAATTTTGCTGCCGTTTCAATTATAATATTTTTCTGTTCCTCTTCGGATTCACTTCTTTGTGTCTTGTAAAATGTATGTAAAATAGATGAAGCTGTTTCTTTTAAGGATATCAAGTCATCTTTTCCTTCACATGAAGTAATTATCAAGGAGTCTTGAAAATGATCTTTGAGTTTCTTCTTTAAATGCTTTCCAGAGTATGCCTTTTCCCCACAGCTGTTGGACATTACCTGCACGAGGTCTTGTATACGAATAAGGACATCAACATTTTCCTCTAAATAGCATGCAACTTTCTGAAATGCGACTTGTACAGCTTTGTCTTCCGGTCTTCCGGGACTCTTTTTGAGTGATGGTTCACCATCCATAAACAGTTTTAGAATATGTTTTCCAGTTCGAAACTTGGGGTTACATTTCTGGTGATATATTGCATCAGCCGCTGGTAAATCCAAAACTGACGATAGTGTATTTAAAAACAACATTTCCCCACAGATGGTTTCTCTCAGAACATTTGAGATGTTTTGTTTCCTGATCAAAACTTTTTACATCTAAATTACGTTCAGCAGATGCAACTTTAGCAGGCTTACAACAGAGCAATTATACTTTAAAGCAAAGTTATTTGATCTTAAAGGCCTTTTAACTTGGTAACACTTAACATTGGAACTATTTGAAATGTTTCTATTGTGAATAAAATCCCGTCTACAGTCTTGGTGCACAATTTGGCCTGGAATTGTTCGTATACTTGAATTCCTCAGATCGCTGGCATGGTTTATACTGTTGCTTCCCTTCTCTCTGAGAGTGACAATTTGGGACTTATTCTGGATATCCTGTGCACAAAATACACACGCCGTAGTATCTGAAAGCATAGTTTAAATCTACATATCTGCATATATTATTCTTTTGTATATGCATTATTCAGCTGTTACAATAGTATTATGTAGTGCAAAATATCAATATACGGTATATAATTTATGAAATATTTATTTTATATGTTTGTGCATTGATTTTCTTAGTATTCAGACCATTATTTGCACATTATCGGAACATGATGTATTAAGGTATAAACCATCATTTGTAAAGACAAAATATACCTGTTGACTTTGCCATGTTGATATCTAATTGTAGATGCCGGAATCAGAAATGCACAACAGGCTTCTGAAAAAACGAAATATTCAGTATAAAATGTGTATTTATTTCAGCTTACCTTAAATAGCCTATGTCATTTCCCTGGGTTTAACACACATTGAACCTTTGTCCGAAAACTTAATGGCCAGCATGTGTATATTAAATCATTTACAGAGAAAATGTCATGAGTATTTATTAATTTAATAAACCGTAGTCAGTATAAACATACCGAAAATCAACGCCCTTCATATCATTGTTCGTTCCATGAGCATGTTTTGGTAATGTGGCATGTATCATCTATAGAAATAAAAGACATATTTTGTGAGAAATCATGTATGAATTTAGCAATATATTTATATCAGCATATTAACTTTGTATTTAAAAGAAACAAGTATATTTTGCATGAACCGATACTCAAAATGACATAATCGTTCATTTCATTTTTCGACTTTGATTGCTAAAGCGTGACGCCATTTGGCCAATGGTAAAGAACGATTTGAATATTTGGCATTAATTTCCATAGGTGTTAAATGAAGGCAATAACAAAAAATATCCGTACTATGTTATACTTTGCATTTTTATGCCCCCCTTCGAAGAAGAGGGGGTATATTGTTTTGCTAATGTCGGTCTGTCTGTCTGTCGGTCCGTCGGTCTGTCCGTCGGTAGACCACATAGTTTCCGCTGATTATCTTGAAAAGTATTTATCACAAAGTCTTCATATTTCACATAGTGATTGGTCATAACTAGTAGATGACCCCTATTGATTTTGGGGTCACTAGGTCAAAGGTCAAGGTCACAGGGACCTTAAATGTCAAAATGGTTTCCGCTGATGATCTTGAAAAGTATGTATCACAAAGTCTTCATATTTCATATAGTGATCGGTCATCACTAGTAGAAGACCCCTATTGAATTTGGGGTCACTATGTCAAATGTCAAGGTCACAGGGACCTTAAATGTCAGAATGGTTTCTGCTGATTATCTTGAAAACTATTCATGGCAAAGTCTTCATATTTCACATAGTGGTTGGTCATTACTAGTAAATGACCCCTATTTGATTCTGGGGTCACTAGGTCAAAGGTCAAGGTCACAGAGACCTTAAATGTCAAAATGGTTTCCGCTGATTATCTTGAAAAGTATGTATCACAAAGTCTTCATATTTCACATAGTGATTGGTCATCACTAGTAGATGACCCCTATTGATTTTGGGGTCACTAGGTCAAAGGTCAAGGTCACAGGAGCTTTAAATGTCAAAATGGTTTCCGCTGATTATCTTGAAAAGTATGTATCACAAAGTCTTCATATTTCACACAGTGATTGGTCATAACTAGTAGATGACCCCTATTGATTTTGGGGTCACTAGGTCAAAGGTCAAGGTCACAGGGGCTTTAAATGTCAAAATGGTTTCCGCTGATTATCTTGAAAAGTATGTATCACAAAGTCTTCATATTTCACATAGTGATTGGTCATTACTAGTAGATGACCCCTATTGATTTTGGGGTCACTAGGTCAAAGGTCAAGGTCACAGGGGCTTTAAATGTCAAAATGGTTTCCGCTGATTATCTTGAAAAGTATGTATCACAAAGTCTTCATATTTCACATAGTGATTGGTCATCACTAGTAGATGACCCCTATTGATTTTGGGGTCACTAGGTCAAAGGTCAAGGTCACAGAGACCTTAAATTGTCAAAATGGTTTCCGCTGATTATCTTGAAATGTATTTATCACAAAGTCTTCATATTTCACATAGTGATTGGTCATCACTAGTAGATGACACCTATTTATTTTGGGGTCACTAGGTCAAAGGTCAAGGTCACAGGGGCCTTTAATGTCAAAAGGGTTTCCGCTGATTATCTTGAAAACTATTCATTACAAAGTCTTCATATTTCACCTAGTTATTGGTCATAAGTAGTAGATGACCTCTAACGATTTAGGGGTCATTAGGTCAAAGGTTAATGTCACATGGGCCTTAAATGTCAAAATGGTTTCTGTTGATTTTTCCATAATTGAACACTTCCATGTACCCATTTTTGGCATGTTTCTGTAATAAAATTACCAATTATGTGAGTCAATTGCTAGAAAGGGGGGTATATGTGTCGTTCGACATTCTTGTTAAAATATCAAATCAATAAGTTATACAATCACAGTGATTTTTTTACAAACTCATCAGTGTGGGTCCTAGGACTCGCTGGGCTATAAATCTATGAGTCCCAAAATTTAGCAGAAAAATCCAAGTTACAAGGCTTAATTTGCTTTAGTGATATGAAAGGTATATTAACAATGGAATGAAGAAAAAATGAATTTGATTTCTACATTAATTACAATGCTTCTGATACTGAAACTATTCAAAACTGTCAAATAGTTTAATAAGTTTATTTCCATTAGTTTGAGATTAATCAAAAGTTATTACCAAATTCCTGTAAGACAGGACTCCCAACTCAATAAAAAGTATGCATCCAAAAGATGCACATTTTTTGAAACTTTGCATCCACAGCAAATTCAATGAGTCCTGGACTCAGGATGCAGAGGTAAAAAAATCACTGCAATCACAACAGACCAAGTAAGGTTAACATATAAGGAATGTATTATATGTTCCGGGCAATCACGTAGTATGAAAGCTCGGGAGCGATTTTGCAAATTTCCTAAGAAGAGCTACTGGTGTCAGGTTCATTTCACATAAAGACATATTAAAAAAAGAACAAGTTAAAACAAACATTGTACATATATTAAAGATAGAAATTGTGCATAGATAATACTTAAAGTATGACTCACCTTGATACAAGAGAGAGCTGAACATTGGATTATCATCATAGGACCATTGGTGTGTAAATCATGGATTTCCTTTCTGAAATTAAGTATTGATTTTATTTATGTACATTTACATGTTAAGTTATGCAAAATATATATCTAAATATAAATTTATATATAAATCTGAATTTTGTTTTATATACAATAAAAATACCTTGTTATAATAAAAAAAATGCATATTCACGACGTAAATTATGTCCCGTTTTGTCTTCCGTAGATTAAAAAATCGTGAAATCTGTTCATTTCAAAGTAGCAACATAATGTCGAAAATACAAAGTTTTCATATTAAATATGTCTTATTAACATCGTCTTCTTAAAAATATATATATTTCGTTTATTTAAGGAACAGAATAAATTCAATTCCTAACATTTATCGGTGATCTTGGTTTGCTGTTTATTTCCAAAAATATTTAGCATAAAATCGTAGTTATATTTAACTACGGCACTTATTGTGAAAGTAAAAAGGCATAAATGATAAAAGTAAATGTAAAATACACAAAACAAACTTACATTTGCCATCCAAACTCTATTGTTGATGAAAAATGATATTTATCTTTCGACGGAAGTTTCACGAAATCATATGACAAGTTTTCAATGACGCGCGTGCCTACGTAATATTGTTACATCATAGGAAAAAACTGCGTGTATGGTGTACAGTTCGGGTCTTAAAATATAAAGTTAAAATTTGTGAACTTTGAACGCTTGTAAAAAAAGTTGTGCACAGAGTTATATGTGCAACTTTTTTCTGACATATACATATACCAGACCTATTCAATGAACAAAGATTCAAAACTTTTGCAATTAGTTCTGGGTCATATTTTATTTTTACTAGACTATTAAATTGATTAAAAAACACACAAAGAGTTATCATCATGATTGTCTAAATACACGCATACCTGTTGATATTTTTCACAAGTCGACCGGTCAGCGAGTGGATCTGCGCCAATTAGTCTGGCTTCGAATAATAATTAGGCTGACTTCGAATAATAGGTGTGAAATTCTTTCATAATTGTATAATCGGGACCGAAATTTTACTTCGAAAAATAGGAGGTATTCGGATAATTCATTTCGAATAATACGCTCGTATTTATATTGGTCTATATAGAGATAAAAACGGGACCGCCGATCTACTTCGAATAATGCCGGGTATTCGAATAAAGGGTTGTCGAATAACCGGGGTATTTGAATGTAATAAATAGGCAATATGATGTGTGACCATAATTATATGATTCTCGAATATCCGTATTATTTAACATGTAATTGAATTGCAAATTAGGTACACATATAATTAGCCGCTGAAGACGAGTAATTATGGTGACAGAAAACAATGAAACAAGATTTCTGATTGTTGATTGTCTAGATTAACTTACAATATAACCCACAAATACCGATGTTGATTATGTAGCAAAACATCATAAATTTTGAATGTTTAACTGATTTTTGATGGTCTCGCTCAACATTCGTTTAAAGAATAAAATAAACATAAATAATTTCGAATATTAGGCCTAAAGTTCATTGTCTAGATGAACATGGGGAATTTTGAATAACTAGCTGACTGTTGATTGTCTGGTCTGACTCAACATTTATTTGGCAACTACATTGTTAAGAAACATATATCGATAGCCTAGCTGATTGTTGATTGTCTAGCTTAACATTTTTGTTGAAATAATTAAAACGTATTATTATCAAATGTTGAGCTAAATGTTGATTGTCTAGCTTAAAAAAGGAAATTTGAATGTCAAGGTGATTATAGCTTATCTTGTTCAACATTTATTTTGGGTATACGTTGTTAAGAAACGAACATTGAATACTGAGTTGAATTAAATCTTTATTGATCTTTATAAACAAAATGATTTATGGCCCAAGGTGATTATGATTTTCAGAAGATCTTGCTGTCAATCAGCGAGTAGAGAGCAAATCAAACTGGTCATTCAATAATCTTGCTATCAAACAAAGTTATTATCTGAAGGATAATTACTTTATTCCTTTGTTAGAAAACTTGAACTGCATCAACCATTTTCCGCCCAGTTTTATTGCACAATGATTCTGATAGGGTCAGTGCTATTTTCAAAATCATAAATTTATTATTTTCTAAGGTTCATTGAATAAAGTGTTCAACATGAAAATATATAAAACAAGTCGGTGTTTGTTTCTTAACATTAAATTAAACTATTTGCTACTTACTTTACTTTGTTGCAATTACTTAAATCAAGTCAAATTTATGCTGACATGAATAAATATGGTTGGTAATAAGTACAATGTAAGTAGAGGCTCTTTGAACAAATACAATTTATATTTAATTGAAGTGATAAAAATAATGCGTTAAAATTATTTTTCTTAGCATATCCTAACGCATAAACAAAGGTTCAATTTACAATATTACCAAAACCTAGAATTGGTAAACATCTTAGTAAATGAGTTAACCACAGTAAACCGTGGAAAGTCACATTAACTAGACAGTTACTAGAGGATAATTTCGTTCCTTCAGGATAATAACAATAAAAAAGAAATAAATATTAATTTTTACAACTGACAATTGATGTACATTTGTATACGTCTTAACATTCTAATCATTTATATACATTTCTAAACTCATAGTTAAACGCTAAATGAAAAAGTGTTTTAGTATTAGACAAAAGTTCATTACAAACAAATTATAATTATTATCTATCATGATAACATTAATCAATGGAAAGTTAGCCTAACAGTCTCGGATTGTAGATGATCAAATAAAAGGTTAATACTATTTTAATTATCTTAAACTCTTTTTTAACCAATTTACATATTTTCAAATAATCGATCCTGATTTCTGCGTAATTGGTTTGTTCAAACTTGAATGTACTTGCACCTCTGTAATGGTATAATGGAGAGAAACAGAATCCATAACGAAGGCCAAACACGACAAAACTGAAAATTGTGCAGGCTCAGTTTGATTGAATCTGCCATGGAAAGTACTGGAAACTGCAAACTAACTTCCACTCCCCTTAGCACCGGCTTAAGCAGAATTTAACATTTAAAACATAAAAATGGTGAAATTTGGAATTTAGATAACCGCAGTAAAGTTTAAATATTTCTTCCTTTCATCATTCAGCAAAACGCATTCAAATAAGTATTGAAATTCGTCGCCTATCTTATTGTTACAAGAGGTACACGTTCTTTTATTAATTGGGATTCGGGCTAAATTTTTTGTGTTTATTGGTATTCCAATGTTTCGTGTACGAACATTTATTATAAAACGACGAAAATGCTATCAAGTTGACAAATGCATCTTTTCAAATTTAAATTCATTCTTGGCTGTTCTATAGAATAAAACCTTTGCTCGAGACTTCATAAGCGAATATCAACCATTAAGAAAATTATTTTTAAGTTTCTGTCTTATTGCGAGTTTTAACCACTTCTCGGTTAAAAAATGTTGTGTTTGCTCAACCGCATTTCATAAAAGAAATTGTCTTAGGTTTTCAATGAAAGGTACATTTTTCTCGCATTATTTTCACTAAAGTATTTTTTAAAAATTATATATATAATATTGTATATTAGAGACGACAGTTTCTTTTGTTGATTTTTTTGCATCGTGATTTGAATGAGATGGAAACCGGGTATACAGTGACTTGCAAGGACATTTTTAAAATAAAACAAACGGTGTATATTGGATAAAAATCGTTGAACCGGTTAGCTATTGTTTTAAAAAAAATATTTATGTCGGAGTATATGTTAGATATATTTTGGACGTAGTTTTAACGTTTTCCATATATGATTCACTTATTTGGTTTAACATTTGCACTAGGGTTGTAATGTTTGTCATTCATTTTCTGAGCTAATTAAAGATTTTGTTGGCGGGTGTACTTCAAATATATACCTTTAAAATATAAATTGTTCACCATTAGAGAATATTTTCCTTAGTCCATTCATAACATTCACGTAAATGCAAATCATTTTACGAGAAAAACTGCAAAATTTCGATTTCATTATTATATAGGGATATATGTACGGGAGTACAATTACGGCAATTACGGCAATTACTTATAATTTCACACGTAAACGTTTATCAAAAATATTACTTAACCCTTTACTGCATTAGCATTTGGTTTCATTGAAAAGTCTCCCGTTACAAGTTCAAATTGCTATAAAACTATAAAAACTGTTTCAATACTAATCAAGCTTGGCACAAATGCTAACTGGACAATTGCCTTTGTAACGACATGCTCAGTCTTAAATTTCCTCTTACCATGGCAACGAGGGGACATTTCAAAAATGCCAAAGATCAATATTTTGCTTTGATTTTTTCCATCAAAATTGATTTCAAAGTGCTGCAACTTCTCAATTGATTGAGATAGAGTCAAAGGCTTTTCAGCATTGGTTAAACGTTACTATATGATCGACCTGTGGTCATTTTTAGCCTCTCACAAGTCCAAAATTTTCTTGGCGGTGAGAGGGACTGCCGCCCCTTTCAAACCCCCCAGACAGAAGGGTGCACATCCCCCTTCTGGCAACCACCTTATGTATCTTTTGGATATGGGGCGGTGCCGAAAAATGTTCACTTTTTCTCACTTTTTTAGACAACATTTCTCAAACAAAAACAAGTGTTGGGAGCCTAAAGAAGGCATTTTTAACCATTTGAGACAACAAATAGGGGGGGTAAAAAAAGCGTTAAAGGGCGTGTATATCGAGTAATGGGTTAAGAGTGCTTTTCATTAACAAATTTTCAGTGGTATAATGACGATCTTATGCATAAAATTCTCCAAAATTACCATTGTACTATTCGTTTTATATTTTAATTTGCAGGAATAATCAATAACCAACATGATTTTCCGTGAATTATATTTCAATGTTCATACAATATAATAAGATATTTCATTGGAAATAACTCTTAAAATCAGAGTGATCCTAAACCTTTTTCATCAAAATTGGTGTTAACAAACTGGATATTTTTTCTAGCATATAGTTTGTTTCATTGTCATTTTTAAATCGTACAGAAAAAGTAGGGCGTTTTACATGATAAGAAAATAAAATAGTTTTACAATTTATACAATTAATTAACGGACCATATGTTGTTTTCACGCGACACAGTGTCAGTAAAATTGTTATTTTGAACTGTAAACCCACATACAGAAGTTAAGGCAACATATTAAGCTTAAGAAGTTAGACCAGATGAATTCCAATATAAAATTGACTGTGTACCTAATACTATTAGGAATGCAAACTGCATGCTGTTTTTTATTAGGTAAGTTTAATTGTTTGGTAGTTTTAAGAATATTTAACTTGTAAGTT